TCCGGATTTGTGGCAATTCTCCAGAGTTGTTTGCAGATCAGGGCCTCATTGAATAGGCCAATATCATGGAAGCCCAGACCCCCTTTAAGCTTTGGAAGAGTGACTTTATCCCATTTTTTCCAGTGTATGCCTGTTTCAGAATTTTCACCTGACTTCCACCAGAAAGCAGCACACAATTTAGAGATTTCCTTACAGATGGAGACTGGCAGCTTGAAGCAACTCATAGAAAAGATGGGCAGTGCTTGGATAACTGATTTGATTAATACTTCCTTGCCAGCAGTGGACAAGAATTTGTTTTTCCAACCCTGCAGTTTCTTCTTCACAGAGGCAATAATGTAGTCAAACACCTCCTTTTTTGATCTGCCAATGCACAATGGGAGCCCTAAGTACCTTGTTGATTTATGAGGAACTATGCCTTGCAGTACCTAGCAAATATTATCTTTCAGGCTTTGTGGAGTGTTCCTGCTGAAGAAGATCCCCGACTTCTGTAGGTTTACCCTTTGGCCAGTGAATAGCCTGTACTTTTCAAGGAGAGTCATTAGATGCAGGGCCTGATCCACTCCTGCTTTGCAAATAAGCAAGGAATCGTCTGCAAAAAGAAGATGAGAAATTACAGGGCCATTTCTAGAAAGCTTGAGCCCTTTAATACTTCCTTGGCTTTGAGAGTTGAGGATTAGAGCTGAAAGCAGCTCAGCCACTATGATGAATAAATAGGGGGACAGTGGGTCCCCCTGCCTAATGCCCCTGGTAGGTGTGATATAGCCACTAAATTTTCCATTGACCTTGAAAGAGATAGATGTAGTGGAACAAACCATGATGAGTTTAATAAAGCCAGAGTGAAAATCCATTTGAGTCATGATTCTCTGGATACAAGGCCACTCCACCCTGTCAAATGCCTTCATTAAATCCAATTTGAGAGCCATGAAATAGTTGTGCCCTGAAGAGTGCCTGTTTAGAAAATGGAAGGCTTCCTGGGCTATGATGATGTTGTCCATAAGCTGTCTTCCTTTCACAAATGCAGATTGATGGGGATTGATACATTCATTTAAGCAATGCATAAGTCTCTGTGCTAATACCTTGGAAAGAATCTTATAGATCACACAGCATAAGCTAATAGGCCTGAACTGAGACAAGGTTTCTGGTTGGGAAACTTTAGGAACCAGAGAAAGAATTGTGTGATTCCAGTATTTTAACATCACACCAGACTGGAAAAAACTGATATGGCCTCCAAAACATCTGCTTTAACCAATGGCCAGAAATGTTGAAAGAATAAGGCATTCATGCCATCCTCTCCAGGTGCTTTTTCAGGTGGTAAGGAGAATAGAGCAGCCTTGACTTCCTCTTCAGTGACAGGCTTCATGAGACTCATATTCATATCATCTGTGATTGTTTGGGGAATGAGTGGGAGTATGGAACCCCCATCCCAACTACCCTCTGAAGTGAAGAGATCATAATAGAAGTGTGATATATGATGCTCAATGTCCTTCTGAGATGTGATGGTTATACCCTGGGGGGTTAAGAGTCTTGAGATTGCATTAAGCTTCCTTTTCTGAGATGTATAAGCATGAAAAAATTTTGTGTTGCTATCTCCTTCTTTGAGCCATTTCAGCTTAGCCCTCTGCTGCCAATAAATCTCTTCACTCTTATGAGCATTATTCAGTTCTGTCCTTGTGTTGCACCATTGTTCCCAGTAGTCTTCTGCCTTTACCTCCCTTAGAACTTCCAGTTTTTTAGTTAGCACTTCAATGGTTTTCTGGTTTTTGGATTTGAGTTTAGAGCTCCAAATTAGCAAAGCAATTCTTGTGTTCTTCACCTTCTCCTTCAATCTGAAGAAAGGAGTTCCAGAGGTTTGTTGGAGCCAAGCTTGTTCTACAATGTCTGACATTCCTTCCATGCCTATCCATCTTTTGTCAAAGTGGAACCTTGCTGCAGATTTAGGCTGAGAATGTCCTATGTTTAGGAGCAGTAATGAATGATCTGAAGCACTTCTCACCTTATTTAAAACAAAGGCATTTGGATATTCTTGACCCCATTCAGTTGAGATAAATGCTCTGTCTAGCTTTTCCTCCACCATTCCTTCTTCATGTCTTAAGTTACACCAAGTGAATTTGTAACCTTGCATTGGAAGTTCCTCCATTTCCATGTTATTAATAAAGGTATTAAACCCCTCCAAACTTCTGTCACTTCTCTGAGTCCTTCCAGACTTGTCCTCTTTGGCACATAAATCGTTCCAATCTCCTATAGCAAACCACTTGGACCCCCAATTTACTTTATCTCTCTCAAGCTCTGTCCACTAAATAGTTCGAACTTGTTTGCAGGTACTTAAGTACACAAAAATGCCCCACTGAGATGATAAGGGAGCTAATTCAAATTCAACAGCAATAGAATAAGAAGTTTTAATAATTTGGATAATGTGGACATTAGGAGCCCAAAACAATACTAATCCCCCACTTAACCCAGCAGGGTCTACAAAAGAAATTCTATCTTCAAAACCCAACTTTCTAATTACAGATTTAACAAAACCACTATTGTTCTTAGTTTCAGAAAGAAAAAATAAAGAGAGGTGGTGAGCCTTAATGGTCTCTCTGATTTGGGAAATTGTAGAGGGCCCACCCAGCCCTCTACAATTCCACACCGCAGCAAGCATTGGGGGTTGGGGTGCCAATTTAGGCTGGCATCCCCCACCTGAGATTTAGTCCCTTTAAGTTTTTTCTCTGCTGCTGGAATGATCATGTTCTGGTTGCTTGGTTGAGGAGAAAGTGGTGTGTCTTCCCTGGTCCTCTTAGCTCCTTGAGAATGTTGGTTCATGAGTTGATGATCTTCTTCTCTTTGCAGCCTACCTTCTCTGCTAAGTGCTCTCTTCCAGGTTTTTTGTTTGGATATTTTGATTGCCTTAGATGTGTTGTTCTGGTTAAGCTTGACTTCAGGGGAGTTTGCAACAGCTTGTATGGCCAGTTCAACATCCATCATCTTGCTGGGTTGGGGTTCCTCAACCAGTGGAATGCTTAGCTCCAGAGAACTGTTATGATGAGCAGGAACTATTTTCATCACTGATGCAGGAGCTGGAGGTGTTGTTTCTTCCTGTAGTGAGTTAGAAGCCACATTATCTGGGTGAGAGTTGTGGGAGGGTGATTGTCAAACCTGGATTATCTGCTTCCCTTTGTCTGTAAAGCTGGATGAGCTCCTAAGAGGAGAATCTTGCTCTGGTATTGGAACTTTGCTAGATGAAGGAGGGGACCTAGATTTTGATTGCCCAATCTCAACCCAATGCTGCCCTTCCACAGCTTTAATCCAGTCACCATATTGTCCTTCTTTGACTGATTTAGTTTTAATAGCATCTATTCTCTTCGTGCATCCCCTATCTAAGTGGCCAATGAAGCCACAGTAGTAACATAGATTATGCAGCTTTTCATATCTGAAACCCGCACTGATGACTTGGTCTTCCAGCTGAATGTTGGTACACCTTGGAAGCGGCTCATTAAGATTCACTGTGACCAGAAGTTTAAGAATTCTACCCCCATGGTTGCCTGAGCTAACAATAACCACATTCTGAACAGTTTGGAAAAATTTTCCTACTTTTAGCCCCACCTCAGTGCTCAGCCAATTGATGGGAAGATTCCATACCTGAACCCATAAGGTGATTTCCTGGAATGCTTGGTGTCTGCTGGTTAAGCCCTTTTCCCATTCCTTGAGAATTAAATACTGGTTCTCAAAACTCCAACTTGTTCCATCTGCTACTTTTCTTTTGTCTTCTTTGCTCTGAAACACAAATTGGAAGAAATTCGGGCCCAGCTCTTTGACCTCCATTTGTTGTTGCAATCTCTATATGTGGGTCATAGTTCTTTTAATCCCTAGCCAGCTTGCCTTGCGATCGCCAATCACCTTTCCAAAAAGGCTTCTCTGACATTCATCTTCGCTCAACTTGATATCATCATGTGCAATACTGGTGATTAAGCTTTCCTTGTCTGATAATGAGAAGCTTTTGATTCTGTCCGCTAGGTCATCGTCATGACCCATACAATTAGGTTCCACCATAACTAAAGGTTTAAGAGAACGTGCAGAGAGGAATCAAGTCGAAAACAAGATTCACAGCCTTCACAATCAGAAAAACAAACCAAATCAGCAAGATTGGATCACGAAAATTGCTCCCACCTGAGAGAATCGCCGGACATGCTCCCACCTGAGAGAATAGGATTATACGTTTATTTAGAAACGGTATTTTGTTTTATTCCTTTTATTTTATTTTATTTTTGAGACAAATGCATTTGGCAGATTGTAGCAGTGGGTGGCTCGAAAGGCCGAACAAGGTTAATATTCCGTTTTTTGGCGTGTGGTGACCAAAACGGGTACGACTCAGATCGTTCGTATCCACTTCCTAAGTCAGCTAATGGAATTTACCGGAGCTTGGATCAGGTACAACCCCCTATTGCACCACCATACAAGCGTGCCCTTTTTTTTTTTCACAATGCTCTAGATATTTAGGTCTACCGCTTGGGCTCGGAAAATCCAAAAAAGATACATTCAGTTTTGTTGTAAATAGGGTGGTTAGTAGACTTAATTCCTGGAAAAACATTTTTCTAAGCGAGGCGGGTAAGGAAGTTCTATTAAAGTCAGTTATAGGAGCCCTTCCCACCTTTGTGATGTCCTGCTTCAAATTACCCCTGGCTATCTGTAAAGAAATATGCAGGCATTCTGCCTCCTTCTGGTGGGGCTCCAAAGCAGATGGAGGAAGTCGAATCCACTGGGCATCATGGAGCAAACTCACACTTCCTAAGGAAGCTGGTGGAATGGGATTTAAATGCTTATCATCCTTCAACGAAGCACTCATCATAAAACAACTATGGAGGATAATTCAAAAACCAGACCTCTTGATGAGCAAGACTCTCAAAGGAAAATACTTCCCAAATTCATCTCTGTGGAAAGCACATCACAAGAGTTCCGACTCGTGGCTATGGAGCACCTGGCTAAAAATCATGCCGCACCTGAAAAAGAGAGTCATCATGTCAATTGGGGATGGCAAAAACACCGATATATGGAGCGACCCCTGGATAGCAGAACTTCAGAAGCTCTCTCCAACTCTGGAATTTAATTCAGATTACCTAAAGCTTAAAAAAGTCTGTGACTTGCTGAACTCAAATGGTATTGCTTGGGATAAAGACCTTATCGAGCAATCTTTCAAGCCCGAAGAAGCCCAAATGATTCTGAACATTCCTCTCAAACCAGGTCAGCAAGATACCATGATTTGGACTCCTCAGAAGCAAGGCAAATTCTCGGTCAAGTCGGCCTACGGGTCTATTCTCTTAGAAAAGGCGGCGAAATCAGCCTCCCCTGAGTCGAGCAATCACAATATGATAATGTCGAAAGTATGGAAAACCACCTGGGCACTCAAGATAAAGAAGAAGATACAAGTCTTCCTCTGGAAATGCTGGTTTCATTACTTAGGAACTCAAGATCAATTAACCAAAAGAGGCCTAAATGTCGACCCAATCTGCAGCGAATGTGGGTCCTCGGATGAATCCATTGATCATATATTACTCTCTTGCCCTCGCGCTGTGACTGTCTGGAAGCTGGCAGGACTACATTGGGAAGGTATGCAAGAATCTAATTCTTCTTTTCGAAATTGGTGGTCTGATATTTGCACAATGAGGAAAGGTCGGAGCTTTGCGGATCGTATCCATTATTCCTCGTATATTCTCTGGTGGCTATGGAAATCTCGAAATATTTGGATATTCAACAGCACATGGAAATCTGAAATAGATATTGCTCAGGGTGCTTGGAAGGAATGGACCGAATTTGAAGAAGCTAATCACATGCATGTTTAATCTAGTACTGTTGATGGTTCTAATATTGTTGCTATTTCTATTGATGCTTTCTTGGCTTTTGTGGATAGCTGACACAAGTGGAAGTTGGGCTAGGGACCCTAGTGTTCAGTGGCAGGACTTCTATCTACTCTTACAACTCTGCATGGCTATCTCTTTTGTGCTTGTCTTTTAGTTGGTGTAAATTGTAGTCTTTATTTCTTTCTTTTAGTTGCTGTTTTTTTTTCTTCTCTGTGGGATCATTTCCCTTGTAACTTAGCTTCAGTTTGGATGCTAAGGGTTGTGTCTGTGGACATGTCGATTGTAAATATTTTTCCCGAGCTGGGCATTAATATTAATTATCGTTTCGAAAAANACAAACCATTATCATAAAACTCAAATAAAGTATCCGTACAATCAACTGATTGAAATCCTAAGCAATTCTCCCAAAGGAGTACCACATAAGTGCGGAAAAGCAAACACTTTCCCTCAAAGGCTAACACATTGCCCAAAAGCTAAACTAAGAAGAAAAAGAATAAGAAAAGTATTTCACATTATAAACAACCGCAAGATCATAAATTTCCATAAGAATATCTGGATCAGAATGCACAATCGGCAGTCTTCTATTCAAGGCCTCTGTGATTTCTTTATGATGCAGGATACAGATCATTGACTTCCATTCTCTTTCCTTTGCCTTTAATAGACTCCATCTGACAGCTAAGTGTAGATTCTCTTCCAGATTTGTCGTTCCTTCTATATTTTCCTGCCATTGTTGTGTGTGAATCTCCTTTGAATTAACAATACACTGAAAATTAACACTCCCATCTTCAGATCGTGTAGCACTGACAGTTAAGGATAACTGCCCTACTCCTTTGGAAAAGTGATCTGCCTCGGTGAGTGTTTTTGAATTATCCTGCCCAGCTTGCAAGTTCTCCCACTCCAACCATTCTGCCCTAGCCAAATTCACCACCATCTGTTCATGAAGAAAGGTGCAAATCATGGGATTCAAGGTCTTGAAAAGCTTTCCCTTGATTCCTGAATATGACTTTGGTGAAATATATTATATTATATCAAGGAAAATGGTATTGGAATTTGTTCGAACTTTTCGCAGAGGATTTTTTTTTGTGTGTGTGCTATATTTTCTTAGAGCTAAAAACAATTTTCATTACTTTTTATAATGAAATTATTTTTGAGAGATGAGGACAAAAATAAATTTATGTGAATNTTCTTAATTTTTTTATTAATTTATATAAAAAAATAAAAAACGGATTTTAAAAACCGGTTTTTCAGTTTTTTTTTTCTGAATGCGTATTTAAGATTTTTTAAAATAAATAAATAAAAAATCAATAAAAATAAAAACGGATTATAAAAAATAAAAAGAAATTATAAATAGATAAAACGGTTTTCAATTGAAGTCAAATTAGTACAATCTCAACCAATTATAGTGTAAACGATCTCGAACTAGTCCAATTGAAGTCGAATTAGTACAATCTCGGTCAATTATAGTGTAATCGACCTCGAATTAGTCAAATTGAAATCAAATTAGTACAATCTCGGTCAATTATAGTGTAATCGAACTCGAATTAGTCCAATCGAAGTCAAATTAGTCCAATTGAAGTCGAATTAGTACAATCTCGGTCAATTATAATGTAATTGAACTCGAATTAGTCCAATTGAAGTCAAATTAGTACAATCTCGGTCAATTACAGTGTAATCGACCTCGAATTAGTCCAATTGAAGTCGAATTAGTACAATCTCGGTCAATTATAGTGTAATCGACCTCGAATTAGTCCAATTGAAGTCAAATTAGTACAATCTCGGTCAACTATAGTGGAATCGACCTTGAATTAGTCTAATTGAAGTCGAATTACACTATAATTGACCGAGATTGTACTAATTCGTCTTCAATAGGACTAATTGAAGTCAAATTAGTACAAATCTCGGACAATTATAGTGTAATCGAACTCGAATTAGTACAATATAGATCAATTATAGTGTAATCGGCCTGGAATTAGTCCAATTGAAGTCCAATTAGTACAATCTCGGTCAATTATAGTGTAATCGAACTCGAATTAGTCCAATTGAAGTCGAGTTAGTACAATCTCGGTCAATTATAGTGTAATCGACCTTGAATTAGTTCAAATGAAGTCAAATTAGTCCAATCTCGGTCAATTATAGTGTAATCGACTTCATATTAGTCCAATTGATGTCAAATTAGTACAATCTCGGTCAATTATAGTGTAATCGACATCGAATTAGTCCAAATGAAGTCAAATTAGTACAATCTTGGTCAATTTAAAGTCAAATTAGTCCAATTGAAGTCAAATTAATCCAATCTCGGTCAATTATAGTAAAATCGACCTTGAATTAGTCCAAATGAAATCAAATTAGTACAATCTCGGTCAATTATAGTGTAATCGACTTCGAATTAGTCCAATTGAAGTCAAATTAGTACAATCTCGGTCAATTATAGTGTAATCGACCTTGAATTAGTCCAATTGAAGTCGAATTACTACAATCTCGTTCAATTATAGTGTAATTGAATTCGAATTAGTCCAATTGAAGTCGAATTACTACAATCTCGGTCAATTATAGTGTAATTGCCCGTTATCTTTTAAGAAACAAAAAGTTAAATTAAAAATTAAAAACGGACTTTGAAAATCTGTTTTTAAGTTTTTCTTTATTAAACAAAAAATAAATAAAAATAATTAATAATAAAAAACAAATTTTTAAAATCCGTTTTTATGTTTTTTTATTAAAAATAATAAATAAAAAAATAAATAAAAATAAAAACGGATTCTCAGAATCCGTTTTTTAACAAAAAATAAAAAAAATGAAAATTAAAAATTAATAAATAAATAAAAACAGATTCTCAGAATCCGTGTTTCAATGAAAAACGGATTCTGAGAATCTGGCTGTTTGAATTTTTTCCACAAACTTTTTTTTTGAATTATTTTTGTCTCCGGATTTTTTGTTTATTTTATTTAAATAAATGATTCTTGAAAATCCGGTTCTCCCAACACCAATATTTTGTAGCAAACAAATTTAACTTTTTGTTTTATAATTCATCTAATAAAGCAGATTGTTTAATATTGGATCTAATGAAATTTTTAAAAATATATCAAGTGGACTTAGGTTTTCCTTCTTTCAAATTAATTAGCAACGATTGGATATACTTTTATTTTTTTGTTCTAAAATAAATAATTAGTAATGTAAATTTTTTTTTTCTTTAATAAAAATAAGTCTAGTTGCTCAATTAACAAGTCGATAAACTCGACTTTAATAAATAAGTTTAGTTGCGTGGCTCGCTCAATTAACAAGTCAGACTCCCGTGCCAACTGTTTGTTTGAACTTTGATGTAAGGAAAGTTGAATAAATATATAGTTTTTAGTGAATCAAAGGTAAACATAACTTTGGTACCATCGTTAAAATTTTCAAAAACTTGTTTATTTATAATCCAAAAACCACACATCCCAAGAGCAAACTATCACAACATATCACATATTACTTTTTTTTTCCTAACAAACGGATAAATTATATTATGGTGATTGTGGAAATCCCGCAACCTTTGGGTGTTTCAGAAAATGTGGATGCCGGAACATATTGTCGTCAAAAATGTTGTTCAAGAGTGGACGGAATTCGGTTCAATACAGTCTTAGGTATATGGATTTGAGGTGGATGTTGGTTTCAATTGAAGTCAAATTAGTACAATCTCAATCAATTATATTGTAATCGGCCTCAAATTAGTCCAATTGAAGTCGAATTAGTACAATCTCGGTCAACTATAGTGTAATCGACTTTCCAAATGAAAGCTGTGGTGTGGAATTGTAGAGGTTTGGGAGGACCCTCTACAATTTCCCAGTTGAAGGAGATTGTCAAATCCTACCTCCCTGATTTTCTATTTTTATCAGAAACTAAATAGAAAAAAGCTTTTATTACTACAGTTTGTAAGAATTTACCTTTTGCAGATAGATGGTTTTGTGTAGACCCTGTTGGATCAAAGGGGGGTCTTTTGCTTTGTTGGTCTAATAATATTTCTGTGCTGGAGATGATTATTAACAACATTTTCAGTTTAGAGATTAAATTTATGTTAAAAGGGTGTTCTGATCAGTTATGGGGAGTTTTTGTTTATGCTAGTGTGATTCCTTTTGAGAGACAATATCAGTGGGAGTTGCTGTATAGGCATCATCTGAGGTGGGGGGATTGTTGGTTCATAGGAGGGGATTTTAATGACATTATCAGTCAGGAGGAGAAGATGGGGTGTTTAGTGAGGAATGATAGTAGTTTTAGTGGGTTTAGGAGTTTTTTGCAATCCCTGGGTTTCAGTTTACTTGGTCCAACCTTAGAAGGGGCAAGGACTTTGTGGAAGAAAAGCTTGACAGAATTTGTGTATCCCCTGAATGGTTCCTTAAATTCCCCAAAGCCCAGGTTCTTAATATCCCTCTGGCATCCTCTGATCACAGTCTCCTGCTCTTTGACTTGGCTGGGACTAAAGGGGCTGGCAAACCCATATTTATGTTTGACAATAGATGGGTTACGATAGAGGGCTTTCAGGAATGTATTGCTAGTGCTTGGAAGATTAAGCATAATGGACCTGATTTGTATAGATTCCAGAAAAAGTTGAAGAGTGTTAGGAGCATTTTGTTGGGATGGGTTGCTAGGCAAAAAACAAACTCAGCTGAATTGATCAAAGTTTGTAACTCTAAGTTAGAGGTTTTAGGTAGGCAAGGGGGCTGGAGGGACTGGGAAGAATGGCAGGAATATAAGGAAAAATTGCATGAAGCTTATAAGGAGGAGGAGCTTTATTGGAGGCAAAAGTCCAGGGTTCGATGGTTGAAGGAAGGAGATAGAATTACCCGGTTTTTTCAGGCATGTGTCAGGCAAAGGAGACAAAGAAACTGTTTAGACCATCTAATTTGCAGAAATAGGGTGCAGTGTCAAAGCAGGGCAGAGGCCATTAAGGAAGTGGAGGATTTCTTTGCAACTCTGCTACAGTCTGAGTTTCATGGGTGTGATAACTCTTTGTTTGATCGTATTCCAAGATCCATAACTGATGAAATGAATCAAGATCTCATCAAACCTGTGACTGAAGATGA